AAACCCTGACTAGGTATTGAGAGACTTGTATACTTTCAAATTACACCCCTATGGGTTAGATAAGTTGAAAAGTAAAACCATTACATTGCTTGCTACAGCCTCATGTCAATATCTGCAGACCTTCCCCATTTCAGTTTCTTTTCTATAGCTTTAATACATTTTTGAAGAGACTACAACTTTAAGTATTCAACGTTTGAAAATATGATTGCTGGCAGACACCATCACTGTGCCCTGCTAGAGAAATTCTCTGCTTCATACAAGTTGCCACTATTGACAGGATACTGAGCTGGATTAGCAATATGGCAGGGTTTGTTTTCTCTGCTTTGCTGTTGCCAAGTCAAATGAAGTATAACTTTGCAAACAGACCTGTTCATTCTTTGGAACACAAAGCTTTATTTTCCCAACCCATGTATCTCCTATTCTTCCAGCCATGGAAGAGAGAGCAGTACAGAGAGCAGAACGGAGGAAGGAACTGGAAGAAGCAAAAAAGAAACGAGAAGAAGAAAAGTTGGTAAGTAAAACTGATTGTGAGCTTAAATAGAATGAGTGAGGGGGGCACCAATGCAGGTCATGTTTAAAAAGACAGCTAAATCAGTGGATTCAAATTTTGGTTTTAAAATGATATAGGTTCATAGAATCATAGAACAGTGAAGTTGGAAGGCACCTATAAGGTCATCAGGTCCAATCCCCAGCTTCATGCAGGAATACAAATCAAAGTACGGTATATCTGCCAAGTGGTTGTCTAGGTTTCTATTGAATGCCTCCAGTGTTGGAGCACTCACTGCTTCTTAAGGTAATTGGTTCCACTGTCTTACTGCTCTTAACAGTTAGAATGTTTTTCCTGATAATCAATCAAAATCTGGCTTCCTGTAACTTGAGCCCATTGTTGCGTGTCCTGCACTCTGGGATGATCGAGAACATATCCTGCCCCTCCTCTGTATGACAGCCTTTCAAGTAGTTGAAAAGTGTTATCATATCACCCCTCTGTCTTCTTTTCTCAAGACCAAACATGCCCAATTCTTTCAGTCCTTCCTCATAGGGCTTGGTTTCCATTCCCCTGACCATCCTTGTTGCCCTCCTCTGAACTTGTTCCAATTTATCAGTATCCTTCTTGAAGTGTGGTGTCCAGAACTGGACACGATGCTCACGGTGAGGCCTAACCAGTGCTGAATAGAGGGGAACTAGCACCTCACAGGATTTGGAAACTAAAATAGCATTTGCCTTTTTTGTAGTCACATCACACTGTTGGCTCATTCTGCTTATGATCTATAACAATTCCAAGATCCTTCTCGCTTGTACTATTGCTGAGCCAGGTATCCCCCATCTTGTAATTGTGCATTTGGCTTTTTTTTCTGAGGTGCAGTACTTGGCACTTAGCCTGTTGAATTTCATTCTGTTGTTTTCAGCCCAGTGCTAGCCTACCAAGATTATTTTGAATGTTATTTCTGTCTTCCAGAGTATTAGCTATTCCACAAAATTTTGTGTCATGTGCATATTTGACAAGCATTAGTTGCACTCCCTCATCCAAGTCATTAATAAAAATGTTGAACAGCACTTGGGGTACCCCACTTATTACCTCCTCCCAGTTGAAGAAGTAGCCATTAATCATCACCCTCTGAATATGATTCTCTAGCCACATGATCTATCCAGCCCTCATCTAGTTACAGTCAACCCTTGACTTACAAACGTAATCTGTTCCGGAAGGAAGTTTGTAAGTCAAAAGGTTTGTAAGTCGAATCAGCATTTCCCATAGGAATGCACTGAAAACCAATTAATCCGTTCCAGCTGTTTTTTGTTCTTAGGTCGAGGGGTGGTTTGTAACTCGACTCATTAGTTCCCATAGGCACTAATGCAAAGCCGGTTAATCCGTTCCTACCACTAGGGGCAGAGTTTTTTTATTTTTTTCCTTTTAACCTAAGATGACTGAGGTTTAAAAAAAACGGAAAGAGGGAGGGAAGCAGGGAACAGACACCTTTTCAACAGAACCCCTTGAAAAGCATCTTTTCAGCCAAGCCAAGCACCTTTCAGACAACATATCACCTTGAAAAGCAGCTTTTCAATCAAGACAAGCCAATACAAGCACCTTTTGGGGAAAAAGGAGGCAGCAAAGGAGGGAGGGAACAGCTTTTAAAAATCCAAAAATCAAAAATTTTAAAAAAGCCAAAAAATAAAAATACAGTCCGTACAGCACTGTACCAGGCAATGCCAGGCAGTCTGAAGACTGTCTCCATAATCCACTCTCAAAACGCTGGGGAGAGCGAGGAAGCAGACAGGCACCCTTTTCACTGGCCAACAGTTAACTGAAAGTTCAAATTTTGCGCTTTCCCCACCTCCCGCGCGTTTTTTCGGTTCATAACTTGAATTTAAGTTTGCAAGTTGAGTCAATATTTTTCAGAGCAGTTTGTAAGTCAAAATGTTTGTAACTAGGGCCGTTTGTAAATCGAGGGTTGACTGTAGCTTAAAACATTTCAGGGCTAAAATTGGTATGCAGATGTCTTGATGGATCGGACTAAAGCAAGCTTGCATTTTGCCACTGGTTTCATATTTGTAAGTGCTAAAGAACTATAGTCAGACAGGTAGGCATGTTGACAATGAAGTGATTTAACATTTCATCTCTCTTCTGGACAGTTATACTGCCAGAGGATGGAAGCCCTATGACTAGGGAAGAAAAGGCCATCCAGTTCTTGATTCATTCATCAATAGGGGCCAAACTGTTGCCTGAAAAGATAGGCAAACAAATCAAGATGTGTTGTCCTCTTGTTTGTGTCTGACATTTTATTTTGAGAAACAGACCTCAGAGAAAGGACACTGTGCTTTCAAATGTTCAGCTTATAACTACGGGCATAGCAATTTTCCTTATTCAGGCTAAGAACATATATCATTCTAAAGATCCAGGATAGAAGGCTATTCTTTATTCCATTCTGGTTTGGAAAGTTTGTATTTCTGTGAGTCAGAGATATTCAGATGAGATGGCTTCATCTTTTTTTCATTTTTGTTTGTTTTTATTCTCTTAATACTTTTTAGGCCCAGATGCAGGCTGAAGAAGAAGAGCGGCAAAGGAGAGAGGCAGCAGAAAAGGAGGCTCAGTTAGAGAAGAGACGAGAGGAGAGAAAACTGCAAAAAATTGTGAGCAGAAGATTGTATTTGCCTGTGTTCCCCAGTTCTGGGACATAAAATTGTCATTACCTGGCTACTGAATGGGACTTTATAATGAAGAGAAGAAACACTTTAATCAACCTGTATTGTTCAAAGGTGGAAAAATGTCTTTATTTCACATCTGTTCTCATAAAGACTATTCTACATATCCCTCTTTTAAAACAATACTGGTAGTTATTTATTCAAATTATATTGATGGCTTCGTCTGATAAAATGGGCTCAGCAACCATGGGGGAGGAGGGATAGCCTTGTTTTTTAAATGCCAGACTTCTGGGGTACAAGCCAGCTGTATCTCCAAATTTTGGCATGGCCCATGGCATATAATGCTTTCACTCATACCCACCCACCCCATCAGTCTCTGCTCTGTTGCTCCAGAAAACATTCATTTTCTCTTGTCTTCTCAATGTAATCCACACCACTGCTCAAAAGAAGATGGAGGCTGTTACTGCTGTTGCTCCTGCTGCCATTTCATGGTGTTATATTTGGTGAGAGCAGGTAAACTTAAAGCAACAGTGGGCAGGAGTAATAGTAGCTGTAAGAGCAAGGGACTCCAACAGTCTGACAGAGCTCCCTGCCAGAGAGTGGGACTGAGTAGGTTTCTGACAATACTGACTTATGACTCCAATTGCAGAGTCAAAGAGAGACCATGTTGTGTGCATGGTTTCAGACACGAAAAAAAGGAAAAACTGGTGATCCATTCAAAATGTTGTAAGTTGGCATGGGTGAGAATTATACCTTATAGGTGCCATGACATTAGTGCAGTCCCTTGTACTGCTAAAAAGGTGATGCAATTAATGGTACTGTCTATAGTAAGAATTGGTACAGTTGCAGTGCATTACAGGGAGACTGCTTTCTGGGACAATGAAAGTGTTTTAAAAATTAGATGCAAGGCCAAATAAAAGGTAGTAAACATTCTTTGATAAAATGTCTTAACATTATGACTTCTTTTGTTTTGTTAATCACAGAAAGAATTGGAAAAGCAGAAAAGATTGGATAGAGAGCAGCAGCTGTTTTTAAAAGCAACAGAACACTACAATAAGGTTTTAGTTAAGAAGCAGGGACTAGAGCCTTGGAAAAAACTAATAAAACAATCTCAGGAAAATATGGTGGTAAGTACCAAAGTAAAAATCAGCATCTTGAATGAAGTATCCGTTGCACTGAAAACTAGCCCTGGGCCATTTTCTAACTTCTCCTGAAGTTGCCAACAGTGGTTTAGGTTTCTGGCTGCGGAGCTAGAGGTTGGGAGCTCAGTTCCCCACTGTACCTTGTTGAGAGCGGCTGAACTCAACTTCTTATTTGGTCTGGCTCTTAACCTATTTCTGGAATTATTTTAACCCAATGTTGCTAATGTGTTAGTTTAATAATATGCTAATATAGTGTTTTATTTGTTACACTATTTGGCTCCAGTTTTACTGTCCTTTGCACTTAACCCTTGTATTTAACAACAATAAGGTTTCTGGCTGCGGAGCTAGAGAGCGCACCGTTTAACGATGAATTCGCATAGCGATCTAATTTTTTAGATCGCTAATGCGATCGCATTGCGATGTTCTGTATAGGCAAAATATTGCATTGCGATGATCGGTAAGCGTTTTGCTTACCGATCTTCGCATTGCAATGTTTTTTAAACAGCTGATCGGCTGTTCCAAAATGGCCGCCGGGTGCCCAAAATGGCCACCGCAAGTGTTTTCGCGCCCTGCCCTTGCTTACCGAAGGCGCAAAAATGGCGGTGCTATGGAGGAACTTCGCTCAAAGATGAGTTTTGGAGCCATAGGAACGCATTAAACGAAGTTTAATGTGTTCCTATGGCTTTTTACATTCCGTTTAGCAATGTTTTTCATAGCGACGATTAATCCAGAACAGATTAACATCGCTATGCGGGGCACCACTGTAAATGAATAGGGGTCAACTATGGTCATACACAGAATCAGGTGCATCTGTAAAACCAATCCAGATCTGGACACATTTCATACTACACCACCTTCCCTTTTCCTGTTCTAATAACAAGTGAGAGTAGCACCACTTGCAGTAAAGCTTTTAAAACTACTGCCCATCACCAATCATGTTTCTTTTTTTTCTGGGATTAGGTGGCACAAAAGCACCACTTCTTCAGGCTGCAAAGAAAGTATCTGCTTGCCTGGCTTCATCATATGCAAGAGATACTTGCTGGAAAAATAGCTCAGGCGGAAAAACTTCATTCCTGTCTGTTGCTCAGAAGATCCTTCAGAATTTGGGTACAGGTAAGCAAAAGTGAATGGATATTGGTTTTGGGGGTCTGAAACCTTAATTTCTCTCAAGAGATTTTAATCTAAGCCTGCAGGTAATAGACAGTCGTTAAAGGCCAGGGACATCTTGTTTTGTTTCTAGTACACTGTTAATTAAGACACAGCTTTGATTGGTTAGCTAATCTGAAGAATTCTCCACACTCAATTAGAGCCATGCTGATGCTGCAGCCCTAATGGTTCATGAGCAGTGGCTACAAAGAAACGATTTTTGTTTAATTATTTGCCACATCTGTATGACACCTACTAACATCTAGGTAGGAAAAATCAGGACAAAGATGTGGGTCACTGAAAGGCTTAGGAAACCTTTGCTTAGTTAAAGAATCAGTGTGGCATGGTAATGCAGACTATACTTGTATTTAACTTGGGTCTGAGTGAGTCACAGCAAAACTACACTTCTGGAGTAACAGCCTGGAGTCATAGCATCTTCTTCCTCCAGAATATTTGCTATTGGAAGGGTTGAACTCTTGCTATTTCTTCTTTTTAAAATGGAAGCAGAGAATCCATGATGCTGAATTACACTGTATACAGATACATTCATACCCCTAAAACCATCTGATTCCTCTCTTTGCTTTCTCACCACCACCTCTGTCTGTTGAAAACTTAAACTTCGCTAAAATGTACGTCTTCTTTTTCTTGGGTTTGCTCTCCAGTACAAGGATGCCATATCTACTATGGAACAGAATGCAACCAAACACCATGAAGCCTCCCTTAAAAGGAAAGTATTTTGGGCTTGGTTTGATATATTCAGTGAGGAGAAGAGTGTGCTCTGGGAAAAACAGAAGACTGCAGATCAATATAGTGACAGGTAAATATATAAAAATCATCCAGGATCTTGTATTGTTGAATCACAAACTAAGGAGCTTGTGCAAGCAGGAATCCAGTACCTGTTTGTGTGAGCAGAAGCATGTTATTCTTTAATTATATTTTAAATTCTGGTGTCCACCACAACTTTTTACCCAGGAGGATAATGCTGACTGCATTCGGAGCCTGGAGGCAATTCCCAAGATTGATGAAAGAGGAAAGAGAGAAGGAAGAAAGACTACAACAGCTAAGAAAGAAAGTATCTGAAATTCTGCCAGACTTCCAAACATAAAAAGGACATTCCAGACCAGAAATCAGGGAGAAAAAGGAGTTCACATGCCTAATTCCATGATTAAGAATCCACTACATTCCAGAAAACAGGGGCTGTATGTCTCTGTTTTCTTTCTGACAGCATCTTTGTTCCTTGGAGAAAATGTCCTACTCAGTTTCCTTTGTAAGTACAGAATGTAGCAGGAAAAGAGAAGTCAAAGCTTTTTTTTCTCCAGATACAACCTCCACCTAAAAGAAGACCTATATAATAGTCCTCTCTAATTACTGGGAAAGTAATCAACCCTGCTAAAACAATTGGAATACTTCCATGTACTCTCCAGTGACATATGTGGTGCCGACACTGTGGTTAGTTGTTATATGTGAGAATATATTTATGTATAAGAAACTTCCTGATGTTAACACCAGCCATAAAAGGTTGATGAGTTGTGTATCTTACTTGTTCTGATGACTGCATTGCTCTAGCAAACAGGTTTGCCAATGAAATCGTGCTTCCCACATCACTTTTTTAAAACCTGTCTATCTTTTTTGGATCAGATGTGAGAAGAACATTCATTGTTACATGCAGCAACGTTTTTGTAGGCTGTGTACCATAGGAAGCTCCAGTAAAGAAATAACTGTTTTTAATGTAGAGAGATGGCTTACTTTATCATGAAGTTTTAAAATATATCCTTAAGTCCAGAAGATGGTGTGGTGTGGATGCACTGATGGTTCTTACCTGTGACAGTTTTTGACTTTAGTCTCAAGGAATAAAGTTTCTCTCTATTGAAGACTAGAAAAAGTAGCAGGCAAGAGAACTTGGGAGGGTTCCAACTATTTTGTTTACTCTCCTGTTCTGTGGTTAATGTTAGGAAAATCTGATAATTGTGTAGATTTTCTCTCCCTCTTAAAATGCTACCAGTATCCAAACTTCTACTGAAAGCTAATATAAGAATCCCTGGCAGTTTTGGGAATCATAGAAAAATGATTGGAAGGGGCCTACAAAGCCATCATGTCCAGCCCCCTGCTCAATGCAGGAATACAATGATCTATGTTAGGTAAAGATAAAGGTTCCCCTTGACAATTTTTGTCTAGTCGTGTTCGACTCTAGGGGGCGGTGCTCATCCCTGTTTCTAAGCCATAGAGCCAGCGTTTGTCCGAAGACAATCTTCTGTGCTCACATGGCCAGTGCAACTTAGACGCGGAACGCTGTTACCTTCCCACCGAGGTGGTCCCTATTTATCTACTTGCATTTGCATGCTTTCGAACCGCTAGGTTGGCGGGAGCTGGGACAAGCGACGGGCACTCCCTCCGTCACGTGGATTCGATCTTACAGCTGAAGATCTACAGACCTTACAGCACAGAGGCTTCTGCGGTTTAACCTACAGCACCACCACATTCTTGGTTAGGTTCAAATATTAATGAAATTCTTTTACAGTCTTTAAACTAATAATTTAACAGCAGAGTTTACTGGTCAAGTACTCAGTGGGTGGGATAAGGGTGGTTAAGAGAGTCCTAATGGCTCCATAGAGCTAAAGAATATACCTTTCTCAATAGCCGCCTAGAGTGGTCCGGTGGTCCAGATAGGCAGGGTATAAATCAAATAAATAAATAAAATAGTTATATGGAGGGAGGGAGCAACCCACTGTGGTATGTGGTGGCAGTATTTGCAGGTGGACAGGAACTACTAAAAAGGGTACTACTTTCTTTCTTGAAGGTACTCCATTATTCACTCATATCACATTTTGTTTAGATTCACTCTGTTTTATCACCATCAGTTGCTACAGAATGCAGATGGAGCCATGTCAACCATTAAACAATGTCTAAAAATTTTCACATGAAAATTTGGGAGAAGCTGTGCAGCCAAACCACAGAACAGCAATTCATGCCCATCACTACTTTAGACCAGTTGCCAACATACCCTTCATGGGCAAGCTGAGCAGGTGGCAGCAGAGCAGCTCCAGATATACCTAGAGGAGAACTGCCTTGATCCATTTCCATTCCAGTCTGGATTCAAGCCATGGCGAGGTACTGAGGCAGCACTAATCATGCTGCATAATGAACCTTTAAAGGAGGTTGACTCTGGAGGATCTCCCTTGTTGATGCTTCTAGATCTTTCAGCAGCTTTTGATACTGCTGACCACAGTTTCCTCCTGGACAAGGCTCTCAAAGGTGGGGCTCAGGGCATCGGCACTGAGCTGACTCAAATCCTTCTTTGAGGGCTGGATCCAGATTTTAGCTTGGGGACGAATTGTCAGCATCCTGGATCCTCAACTGTGGGCTTTTCTCTACATAAAGCCATCAGGAGATTTTGAGTAAGGTGTCATCTGTATGCTGATGATAACAACTCTCTCCTTTACAACTTCTGCAATGGATGCCACCTCGATGCTCGAGCAGTGCTTTCCTTCAGTCTTGGAATGGACAAGTGCCAACATACTCAAACTTAACCTGGGCAACATGAAGATCCTGCTCTGAGGGAGCAGATGTGGATAAATTGTGGGGATTACCCCCTAACTGGATGGCACTATCCTCCTGTTTAGGAATCAAATTCGTAATCTGGGTGTGCTTCTGGACCTAGCTCTTTCTTGGGACTCCCAGATTGCAGCCATGTCCAGAGGAGCCTTTAACCAATTTAAGCTTATCATTCAACTCCGCCCCTACCTAGATGAGGGAGCTCTCACCTGCACTGGTTACCTGTTGTGTCCTGGGTCAGGTTCAGGGTTTTGATGCTTACTTATAAAGCCCTCCATGGTACTTGTCAAAGTGTCTTTTCCCAAGGTCATCTACCCTCCTAGGCAACGCCTCCAGGTCGCCACTCCAAAGGAGGCCAGGAAATCATCTATGAGAAGCCGGCCTTCTTGCTGTGGCACCAACAATTTGGAATCAATTTCCTATAGAGCTCCACCTGGCTTTCTTCTTCCCAACATTTAGGTGGCTTCTGAAAATGTTGCTTTTCAGAAAGGCCTTCCAATGCAACCCTGCTTGATGTTATGCCTCACTTTCTGCCATTTGGTTATTATGCCTCTGTTTTGTCTGATTGGTTTTACTTATCTTATTCTTGTTTTATTTTATTATCACATTGTAAACATTTGGAGAGCCATAGTTGTCTATACCTGGTACTGGGAGGCATGGAAGTCTAGACAGAGGAACTGAGAAGAAAAAAGTTGAGACAATTTGAGTAGCATTTCGACTTTAGACTTTTGTTATATTATATTATATATCATCTGCTCTAAGAACCCTTTGAGCAGTTTCTGAAATGGTAGCATTTGACAGAGCTTCGCTATAATCTTTCAATTAAATCAATCTACCTACCTACATGATGCCAGAAGTACATAGTCAATTGTTACAGATTCCAAAGAAAAGATACGGGATGATCCCAGAAAAGTTATGGGAAGACTGTGCTTACAAGATGTATTTAAAACTGCCTTTTTGAAAACTTCTTCTGCCATAGTTCATTACAGAAGCACCCACCTTGTTGAACAGAGGAAGATCCAGCATAGAAAAAACAAGTTTAATTTTTACATTTTTTAAAGAAAAATCAGAAAAGTCTGTATTTTAGAGCAGGGGTCTCCAACCCCCCCCATCCGCAGCCTGGTGCCAATCCGTGGCCTGGGCCATACCGGGCCGTGGAGACAAATCTCCCACCCACTCCTGCACTCCCCCCACACAGCCTCTTCATGCATTCACACGAGCGCCCCTCACCCCTTCGTGCATGCACACAAGTGCCCCCCGAGTGGATTCATGCACGAGTACGCCTTCGCACATTCGTGTGAGCACAGTGGGTGCCTGCACGCCTTTGCACATGTGTGCAAGCACAGGGGGTGCCCCACCTTCCCCAATGGTCCGTGGTTTTTTAGCCCCCGAGTGGATTCATGCACGAGTACGCCTTCGCACATTCGTGTGAGCACAGCGGGTGCCTGCATGCCTTTGCACATGTGTGCAAGCACAGGGGGGGGCCCACCTTCCCCAATGGTCCATGGTGTTAAAAAAGTTGGGGACCACTGTTTTAGAGCATCCCCAAAAAAAAGGAGGGAAGGGAAATTTTGTTGTTTTTTGTGTAGGACAAATAAAGTCTAGCTAGACTGTCAAACAGAAAACTGGAAGTTTATACATTTTAGTCTGTTAAGTCCATTTTTACATTCTAATTAGAAATATACTAATGCAGCTAAGCATTCTGGCAGACATCATTCTGAGCAATAACAAATAGAATATAGGATTTCTGAACTTGCACAATGTCTCCTTGTGCCAACTGAACACGGAGAAATCTCCACTGTGACAGCCTGACTGCCATTCTTGAGTGAGAAAAACTCGGTTGGTAATAAAATCCACTGCTTGAATAGAGTGACTAGAGGGGATTCTGCCACTACAGTCAATTTACCTGCATTACAGAATCAGTTATATGCATTCAAACAGTTAATTACAAACTCACCTAACAAATGAAGATCACTGAAACCACCATACAAACATCATAATTTAACTCACCTTGCAAGTTTTATGACTGTATATACCATATTTTTCCGTGTATAAGACACTACTTTTTCCTAAAACCATTACAATAAAAATTGAGGGGTATCTTTTACACAGAAGTAAGCTGAGATAGCTGAGGAGAGAACAAAACAGCACATCCCTTGCCTCTGTAAACAGGCTTCCTTCAGTCACGATGAAGCTTAGTTTCCTATAGTCAGGAGACTTAGCTTCCTCCAATCACGAGCCTTATGGAACTGATGTCAGCTGATGCTGTACAAACTAATTGGAACACACCTCATTGGAGGTGGGGCCCATAGGGACTCAAAATGTCAGACTGTTCTGAGCCCAAAGGCTGTATTCTCAAAGCTAGGTTTTCTTAATTTTTGGGTTCAATTCGTGTGTGTGTGTGTGTGTGTGTGTGAGAGAGAGAGAGAGAGAGATAAACGGGGGCGTGTTATAAATGGAAACATGCACATCAAAAGCAAATTTGTTTTTTTTCTTCTTGTTTGAAATTTCTCAGGCTCATGTTCCTAGCCCGGAGAAAGAATAATAAATAAAATCAAAGTTTGTGATTTCCTAATTCATTATATTTTCCCTGTGGCACAACATAAGTCTAAAGGCCAAGTGCCACTCAAATCATCTCAATTTCTTCTCAGTTCCACTGTCTTCCATGCCTCCCAGTACCAGGTATAGATTGGCTCTCCAGATGTTTTTGGTCTGTATTTTGCCCACCAGACCAAGGCAGCATAGCTGATTATGAGAGCTGTAGTCCAGTACCACCATTATCATTCCGTCATACAGAAAACATTACTTTTAAGATTCATACCGTCTGATTAAGCCAGTTTTCTCCTTATTTTTCAAGAACCAAGAACATGTTTTGAAAAAGCTATCATCCATATTGAACTCCCCTCTTGAAAAATCATTTGCCAAGATAGCATTAACCATAGGTTTTCTAACAGTAAGTATTCAGCCACTTGTGTGCACTGCCCAGTTAACTTTCTTAAAAATACACATCAATTAGCTATTATCAGATTTTACATGCCTTCCCCCTCCTTTTCATCAGTAAACATAGTAACACAACCTTCTCAGTGAAATAGCTTAACCAGGTCCCATGTGCCTCAATGGCAGATCAGTTTTCAGAGCACAAGAACAAAGGAATCTGCCTGGCAGCTGAGAGTGTCCTTTCCAACAGATGGCCAAAGACCTCAATACATACTGTATTACCATTTTAACAGTACAATCATATGTCTGTCTATTCAAGTGTTCTTTAGGACTTGTGACCAAGTAAGTGGGCAATAAGACAACCTTTAATGGGCTACTGAAATTTTATCTTTTTCTGTACTGGATTTCTTGTATTGGCCACAAAAAAAATAACTTCAACAGAGTAACTTTCTCTGCTGTATCAGTTTTCCACAGGCATCCTTTTCAAGTTTATTTCAATCAACAAGGGTTGACCATGACTTGTCCCCAAGCTGCTGCCAATCTCAGATCTGTCTGATTTTACACAGAATGGCAGAAAAGCTCCTATATTCCCTCCCCACTTTAAACTAGAAAGGAAATAGGCTTGATAATGTGCCTGTTCTATTTTGCAGACAGTTGTTACAAGCTTTATTGTGTTCAGTTGACTCAGGAGGTTCAACCAGCCTGAGAAGACCATTGGATGGCTTAAATTTGTACACAGAGCCAAAAGCTTTGAGTTTAGTAGTGTAGTTTATGGAGATATAGTATGCTTCTGTAACTCTGTATAAACCATTCAAGTTCACATAGTATTGTGTTTTCATCAAGTTAAGTTGATACTCAGATAATGGCACATAATAAACAAAGCAACCTTTGCACTCAGTAAAAATACTGAAATGTTTCACAATTAAAACTCTAAACACCAGGCGTTGGACACTTGTATTTTTCATTTGTTAACAAGTCAACGACACATGAACAACTGAGAAGAAAAACCCCTGGTGTATGAAAGAACTAGAAGCTTTTTACTGTACAACTGAGCATGGCAGTGAAATAAAGGCTTCTTGGAAAAAAGAATGTCATTTAAAATAGAAAATAAATCATAATTGCACCATCCTGCCCTGCAGTGAGATAATACATTCATATAAAGATTAAAAGTCATAACATATGATTAAGACATTAGACAGTGAGGCAGTTATTACTTGCTCTAGAGAAGACACTCTCACAGAAAAATTTTAAGACACTTGACAGCAGTCTACTGTGAAAGAAAAAAAGCACCATTAAATACAAGGGGACTGAATTCCACTAGCCCACAGGAAAGGGCCTCCCCACCCTTAAGCTATTTTAAAGAGGTGGTGTAAATACCAAGATAAGACAATACAATCAAAGGACATTTTGACAAAATGCCTGGCTAGTGCAAATTCATGACTGGGAAGGGACAGCAGATTTGTTCCAAACACAATGCTCTGCACTGTACTCACAGAAATATCTTCATATTTCATGGGACTGATTTGAACACAGCAATGGCAACAAACCCAGGCAGTCTGACCCTGAAAAATTCACTGCACCCAATTTACTGTAATTCATGCTGTCACTCAGAAGAGTATTTCAAAAGAGAATTCTATGACAGAATATTACGTTTCATAAGGCTCCAAAACTACAGCGGACACCCTTCCCAAGTTGCACTGGAACCTCAATGGGAGAAATGTCACACTGCATTAAGCTACTCTGCCTAGTTTCATCTAACTCCAGCTTGTGTTTTTCTGAGCGATTGTCTCTAATATGCTGATATTGGGCATTTGGCATCTCACTCCCTTGGGAAACATCCCACAGCCCTGAACTTTTTGCAGGTTTCAGAAGAGAAAAAATAGTTACTGCTCATCTTTTGTTTAAATGGCTATGTGACATTATTACTTAAATGCTCTTGAGCACTGCAACAAGAAATTACAAACTTCTGAGTTAGCTTATCTATTTGTTTTTCACTTCCATCTAATATATGTGCTTATATTTCCACGACATTTAGGCAGGATGAGGTAATCCTTTCACCTTTTCTCAGGAAAACTAAAGGCAAACTCAAACAGGTCACCATTGATTTGAGAGGCATTCAAAAATCCAAATTATGAAATAATGTTTATTTTCAGTGTCCACTTCAGCTATACCTGTCCTCAATGGCACAATGTAAACCAGAATTCATCACCAGCTTTCTCAAGCAAGTTAAAACACGAAAGTAAATGCTCATTGCACTGCTGTACTCAGTAGAGAAGTATCTAGCTTATGATGATTCTGTAATAATTGTGCTCTCTACTTTTTAAAAATATAGGTGTTCTACCCATAGCTCTCAACAGCATACTGTGATTCTCTAAACTATGCTAAGGATTACAGTAGGGCTGTAGCTATGACTTCCTAGCTTTCAGTCTCTTCCAGAACTACCTCTGAAATCTCTTCCTACCAGACACTTCCTACATACTATTAGCACAGGTAAAACCCTTCATATTTAGTGAATTTCTCAACTGCTTATTATTATGATCTGCAGATATTTTGCTTAGTGAGGAATACAAGCTGAAAAATAGGGAATCATATCTTAAATAGTCTACAAAAGTATACTAAAAATACAGATTAAGGAGGAAAGTGTATTTTTAAAAAATATTTTCTTTTTACAAATACAAGGGGTGGAGAAGAGGCTCTTTTTTAAAAACAAAAATGCTGAGCTCTAAAGGCAGAAATGCTGGAGGAACTGCTGGTTTAGTCGCTGTGTTAGATACTGCACATACTGCAGATGCGCTAGAACATCCCTGAAAGCTTGTGCAACTGTGTGTACATATCAATATCATGATAGCACTGAGGCCCTAAAATAAGACAAACTAAAATTTTGTCTAGAAATAAACCTCACATGAAAACAAAAGCAAGTTTGTCTCCCCTATTATCTATTGCTCCCGGGCCTTACCAGCAATGATTAGATTAAGCAGTATGCTATGAACTATTTCTAGTACATGGGCATATACACTGATGAGAAGCAAATATATGTGAAGAAGTAAGACTAGTTAATTTCAAACTGAAACATCTTGCAGCTTTAGTCAAATGCTACAGTGTTTGCAACCCTTAGCTGAGATTACACCATCTCACTTGAAAGACTTTTTTGGAACCAATTAACATCGTTGTGTGCGGCACCAGTGTACTGAATTATAAAACTGAAGGTACGAAACTGAAGCAGCCAGACCATTACAGAGAATAATCTAAAACAACCTCCCCCTCTGCAGACAAGAGGAATAGATGTAAAAAAGCTAATTCTTTCTTCAAGAATCCTGCAATCAAAGCCTACCAGTGATTCTAATACAATGTAGCTACCTCTCCTACAATCCACAGCACTGTTAAATGGTACTTGATTGTCCAAATCATTTTTATGACAAGGCAATAAGCAGGAGATGGAGACCATGTGGTCCTACAAATTCCTTTGCTGCTGATTATAATTGGCTACAGCTGAAGGGCACTGCAATCCAAGAAAATCTAGAGGACCACATGCTCCCCATCTATTTTAAGGCATGGATTAAAGCACTATTAAACTAATGGCCCATAAAGAATAGTAAAAGGTGCAAATCTACATTCCATGCAAGTTTTATCAATTCCTAATTTCCTTTTATTATAAGTTACTATGTGATTATGACCAATACTGAACATGTGTCTTGTGCTGTAGCATATTTTTGGATGTGCATATCTCAAAAGATTGCTGTTAGCAATACAAATTTCAATTTTAAACACACACCAAATGTTTTTCTGACAGTGGCAGTATGTAATTCTGAAATAAAAACTACCACAGCTTTTGATATAATAAATGTATCTACAATATACAGAACCACCCTGTTACCAAAGGCACTCAGCTGAATCATTTAAGTATTTCTTATTCTAATGATGAAGAAATGTAAAAATTTAACTAAACTTTGTTTAGGGTTTGTTTTTTGCATGTGGATGGAAATGCAGAACAATTCTTCTTAATCCAACCCATCACCACCGCTTAAAACCCAATAGCATGTGTAATATAGCAAGGCATTCATACTTCACAAGCTATGGCACATTATGATTAGGTCACTTAATATAAACTCAATTTCTTCCCAAACCTTTAATAAACCTACTCTTACTTCTTGAATACCACAGCCTTCTTTACTAGAATCAGAGGGAATCCTTGTATACAGCTACCACGGGTTATATCTTATTAGATGAGGTTTTAAGCTTGCAAGATCTCCTATCTTTTATTTGAACCTCAAGATCCACACTTTTGAATAATAAAAAAGCATTCTGAGCCCAGGAATTTGTTTGTCCTTCCATGCCAAAATGCAGTCCTGGTTGATCCATGCCTACAAAGTCTTTTCCATCCGACTGATGATGATTTAGGATTGACTTGAGTCAGTTCATGGCTGCTTCCTGTTAAACAACTGGAAATCAAATATACCTGCCAAACCACCACTAAACTCTAAAAGTAGATCCAGATCTACTTTCTGCCCACTTCATGGTTGACATGCTGTGTTATAATTAGCATAGTAGTTTCAGCAGACAGGATGTTAAACTTCAGCAACTGGGAATAGAATTTATCCTGCTATATGAGTTACAGGAAGTTCCTTCCCATTCCCACCCCACCTTTATACTAAGGCTTCTTCTATCATGCTCTGGTGTGCCTGCCCTATATTTTAAGAAGCAGTATCTTAAAATATAAGGTATTAGACAGGAATTGGGGCAAGTAAACTCAGTAGTAGTATCTTGCTAATGCCCTGACAATTATGACTCGATCATTTGAACGCAACCCTGAACAGCAGCATGTCCTTCTACTGGCTGGTTCACACAATTGTGTACATCAGAGAACGGCCTAATAGCTTCAGTCTATGAACAACCTTCACAGAAAAGCAAGCAACCTTAGGTCACCTCAGGGGATACAAAAGTCCCCTTTGTGGAATTCAGTCTGTGAACATGTACATCATAAAACATTGCAGGCATCAAATGAGGAACACGTATGTTGAATCATCTTCATACTTGGGCCTTTCCTGCCAATGTTTGTACAGCATGTTTCTGTAAAAATTGTGTTCCACCTCACGATACATCTTACGAGACTCCGTTTTGCTTCTCTGTCTCTAGTAGATGAGAGCTATTTGCTCAAAGTGTCTGAAGATGAAGACAATTAAATGAATAATGTATGTTTTATCCCAACGTGATTGGCAAAGATGCATCACACAATGTCCTCACTGGAGTGCTGTACAGCAGATGAGTGCAAGGTCAAAAAATGGACCCAGTTGCACAGGAAGCCCCTATTGTATTGGCCTGTGTCGACTACCAGGCCCCATAACAGCCTTCGCCCCGTGTTCTCCCGCAAAGCAATCCGAGCTTCCCTCTCGGTCACATTGTAGCTGATGTTGAAGAGCTGGATGAGAAGGATGTAGCCCATGCCAGAGGTCACAATAACACAGTACCACACGCAGGTGAATGATAGGGCAGAACTAGAAGAGCAGATCAGAAAGAAAGGAAACTGATTAATGCAATGCAGAGCTCCAGAGAAAGAAAGGGATTGACATTGTACAACAAACTGCAATTTATTTTTCCCTTTCAAATGCCAGATTTTATCCAACCACCTATTATTTTCCCATCAACACATAATCATTATCTATGCCTTACAATAAGATAATAAGCATATGGCTTTGCTTATTGGTAAACAACAGGCAGCTGTATGCCATCCATTGTAGGAAACTGCTACTTGTGGATTGGTTGCAGATGACCAAATACACGTCTTATACCTTGGGTACACTGTAGGCAAGATGATTTCACTATGTGCACACGTTTTTTCAAGCATCACAACTCACAATTTTACAGTGTCTTGCTGAAGGGCTCCGTATGCATAGGCATGAAAAGGATACTACAGTTATCAGAGGAAAACAAAAAGGACACAGGGAAACAAATGAAGGGTGCTCAATCAAGAATTAGCAAGATTTCAGCATGCAAGGAAAAGGGGGGCAACACCAGAAGGTTGCAGCACATCACCTTGGGAAGTCACAATGTTTTTCTCATTAAAACAAAAATTTAACCATGCAGAAGATCTCAAACACATAAGAACAAAAAGATTAGCCTTTGCTTCCGGCATGCAATTTCCAGAGGTTTGTTGGGGAAAATCACAAGTACCTAACACCATGCTTGAGAATAGAAATCTATGAAATTGGCACAAAGCTTTGAAAAGAAAACACTAGACTTTAGCAGGCAACTTAGCATAAGTCTCAGGACAAGACAGCTGAGAGGAAGTAAACTAGAGGATGGCCTCTCTGACTGAGAGTTGCATTAACTGTTCAATTTTTACGGAGAATTTCCCGCACCTGTAGTCTCCATATACGCCAGGACAGTAGAACAGTGCTTTGATGGTTGATTTTCCTTTACACAGTGTGTCCAGCGTCAAAGAAATCCCATATACTGAGGTGATCAGAAAAAGGGTGAGTGTAAGAACAAAAGCTTGGTGGTTCTCCTCCCCAACACAGGTGTTAATCCTCCAAGACAGAAAAGGAGAAAATAAAATAAAAACAATTGTCTAGAATCCTGTGGTCTATAAACAAGATGCCAGATTTAAAAATGTCAATCATATAGCCTCAAACCTTTACAAATTGCAACAGGGAAGTTTCTCATCCTGAATCGCAAAGTGTGCACAAACCATAGTTCACTGCTTTGTACAAAACAGCAGCCATTATTTGCCTTGGTCCAGGAAAGGAGGAAGGGGATCCATACAAGAAAAAGAGGGGAAAGGAGTGTAATATCCTGAGCATCCTTGTAAGGTTTACTCCATAGGCACCAAAGGATGATTTGTTCATGTGTCTAAAGCAACCTAATAAAGAATTTGTATACAACAGTTTTTGAACAGATGTTTGTGTCGGTACTACCCAGAGTTTAAAAATTCTGTATTTGCAATAAACAACTCATTTAATACAGAAGGAGACCATGGCTGCATATATTCTGAAACTCAATTTGTTTCACTTGTCAACTTTGGAATTTAGTACTGTATCTACAGCTAGTGCAATGAAATTCTGAGGCATTATTGTTTAGTACATATTTGGCTTTTGTGTTCACAGAAAGAACTTAGAAAAAATGAAGGCTCTGAAACCTAGAGTGACCTATGCTAATTAAAAATTGTAAACCTCCTCCTGGAAGCAGTGGGAGAAGGGAGGGGCAACAAAAGGGATTTTTCTTTTCTTTTCTTTGAGACTTGTCTTAGAGGTTGGGTTGAGAACGGAACCACAGCCAAATCCATCACCAACAATTGATGACAGTTTTAAAAAACTATTTTCTTATAAGTGATGCAGCCTATCAGTGCTGCCTTAATATACTCTACAAAATTTTAACTTGCTCTGCACCTCCATGGAGCAGAGGAAGTGTTTAATTTGCCAATATTCTGAAGGGGCTATCTTTTTGAGGCACTACACAATAGGGGAAGTTGACAGTGGAAGGAGCTGGACTAACTAGGGTTGCTTGAGGTGCGTGTGCCATTTGGTTGTGAGGATCGCACCAAATGGCATACTGAACCTCTAACTCAACATCTAATGACCCTATTTAGCCCACTCTAATTAGCCCACGTGGACTAGGCTTAGATATAAACTGGTGAGAGATCCAAATTTATATCAGTACTCCCAACATCTGTTTTCAGAATAGAAGAACAGAAATTTCCCAAATACTACTAGTAAATGCATGGAAGCCAAACTTTTAAATTTAATGTCCAATCCATATTATGTACTAAGAAACACAGATAGAACCCAAAGGGACAAAACAGTTCAGGGAAACCACCGCTCATTGGGAAGACACATGTCAGAAAGTGTGAAAACCAACTTGAAACTCCAGGGAACATACCAGACACAGTGATGATCCAGTCTCTTCACACACCTGCCACATATCCGGCAGTGCCCAGCTCGAGCTGGCCTAACCAACTGGCACTTGGTGCACCAGTCCTCTGTGACCCTACCTGGCCCCTCTGCCAACATTCTGGGATAGCCCTCCGTGTTACTGTTCATAGCAACGCCAGAGACAGGTTCTCTGTAAAGCCCATTGGAATTTCCCAGGCCATTTCTGTTTAATTTGTTGTTGTTATTATTGCTGCTGCTGCCTTGGCAAAGTGCTTTGTCACTGCTCATTTGGCACAGAAGATAGCCAGGGTCTCTCTTGGCTTGAGACAGGGCCACAAGCATGAGGATTAAGCCACAGGTGAGAAGAATCACCTGGCTGAGTTCCACCTGGCCCCGGGGAACCACTTCCTGGAGGAAAATGTAGTACATGTAGCCTAGGGAGAACAGTCCCAAACTCAAGAAGAACAGAGTTTGACCCTTCTTCCTGTGCGTAAGGTAGTAATACCACAGCACCAGTACAGGAAGTGATATCAAGATGACAAGAGCCAAGAGGAAGTGCAAGGCTGCTACGTGAAGGAAAACAGGCAGCAGGATGATTGGTGGAAGGAGGCTGATATCGATCTTTACAGCCCCCCTAAGCCATGGGAGGCGAAAGCGGTCCGTGAAGGTGTCTGCAATTCTCTCTAATATTCCCGGGGGCAAAGATTTGCAAGTCAGCCACCTGTCAGGGAAAAGCACAGATTTCTGCTCAAATTAGACTGAAAAGAACAAGAAATACATTTGTGCTAGTTTCTGTCATTCTCTCCATCACTTTCTAACAGCTCACAAGGTCCAGTAGTTTGGGACTACTTCACATTTTGTAGAAGATAAGCACACTTTTTTAAAAGGATGAACATACAGGAAGACAGCAACTCCTTGGTCAATTAACATATCCAGTGTATATAACGGTAAAACCTGTTTATTTTGCTACATACACTATTAGTTTATGGGCTAGGTTTGAAAGCTAGAATAGATATTCAAATTAGGCACATTCTTTTGTTTTACTCTGAAATCTCAACAATACCAGATGGTATAGCATCTCATTCTATGGTGATCTATTTGAAAAGTATGACAATCCCTCACTGATTTGTGATGACAGCCAATTGGTATCCCAACAAGATTAACAGTACACAGAAAGCCCCATTTCTTCTGCAAACTAATAGCTGTAAGATCAATACTAGCACACAGTCATCCTCTCCTCATCCTCTTCATTGCAGAGAAGCCATACAACTATCATCAACCTCCATCATGTGAGTATGGTTAGACAGTTTCCAACTTGGCAGCCACAGTTAAGTCTGATTAGAGAACAGCTGCACCGTTTTCTTTTATTACATTTTTATACCTAAAGAGGCAGCACCATCAATCCTTACTTTTCAATATATCATGGTTTTTACCTTCTTTCTTCTGGAATATACTGGCCATCCTTAATCCTTGCAATGTAGGAAAATCAATCCAGACTACCAAAATGCTACCACTATTTCTCAGGCCTTTACAAGTCCCACATAATCCAGGCATTTAACAATTACAGTTTTTGGTCTTAAATTCACAGGAACCCCATATAAGAAATACTGTTTTTCATGGAGATGTGACTGCTGCCAATAATGCACCTGTTTCAGCAACATCAGCTTAAAACATTTTTGTTCTCCCATTTTAAATTGTTGATATATCATTTCTACTACACTATAACTACCTTCTTTCTTTGATTTTGTTATCTTGTTTTGTATTTTTATTATCGCTTCTGCCTTTTTAATCATAAATTCAAACACCCAGCTGTCCTGTCTACAAGGACAACACACCTTTGTTTAACAGTCAGTGCTCACATATACTAGACATCATGAAATGAGGCAACAATGCAATTGAATATAGTGGAGAGAACTATTAGATCAGCCAAGAACTTCAAGGGTAGGGGGGTGCTTTGGCGCCCGGGATGTTTTAACAACACCCTCCACAGCCCTTTATCATTGGTAATATAGGCTGGGGATTCTGGGATTTGAAGTCCAAAACATCTGGCTTGCAAAATGGCCTGACTAGCCATTTCCCAGAAACCACGACTTGCTAGAGGAGTACTGAAGCCGACTCAATACATTTCAATGCCTTTGCGAAGTCCTTTTTCGCTCCTGTAAAAGTGTCTTACAATGTTTGGAAGCTGTTTTAAATGATTGCAATGGTTAGTCCACCTCCTGAAACCTATGCAAACTGATTTTGGTGTTGTTCTGACACTTCGTTAATTTATGATGATTTTTTGTTTTTTCCATTGGAAACCATTAGACAGACCATCCAATGGTTTCCAATGGAGAAAATTCAAAAAATCATCATAAATTAATGAAGTGTCAGAACAACACCAAAATCAGTTTGCATAGGTTTCAGGAGGTGGACTAACCATTGCAATCATTTAAAACAGCGTCCAAACATTGTAAGACACTTTTACAGGAGCGAAAAAGGACTTCGCAAAGGCATTGAAATGTATTGAGTCGGCTTCAATACATTCCAATATAGGAAACATTGTTTCACTCAACGATGTTTCCTATGGGGATTTTCACTGAACGATGGCAATCCGTTCCAATTGGAACGGATTAACCGGTTTTCAATGCATTCCTATGAGAAATGGTGTTTCACAGAACGATGTTTCACACAACGTTGATTTTTTTGGAACCAATTAACATCGTTGTGTGAGGCACCACTGTACTATATTAGAAGCAGAGTTCTGAAATCACGCTCTGAACAACAAAAAAGATTTGTGATGATACCATGAAGAGTAACAAATGTTATCAGGGCACGGATATTAGACAGAGCACACTTTATTTGGTCTATAAGAACTTGTCCTTGAGCTGCTAAAAAAGACGTTGTTTCTCCTAGAGCCGACTCCCTCAAAAGAACCCCTACACTCAGGGCAGGATGTAAAGTCAAAGCCTTTAAAAACTCAAGTAAAGGGTGAAGCCTCCCCGACGCCCCCACACACACAATCAAGGAGGGCGCGCCCTCCATCCCCCCTCGGCCCGGCGGAGGGAACTTTCCGGGCGCCTCACCTTTCACAGCACTCGTCGAGGTCGTCGCACTCGCAGCAACAGGCCGCCAGGTGGCTCCTCTGCCCGTTGCGGTCCAGGTACTCGCAGCAACAGAGGGTGTCCTCCATCTCGGGGCTTCGAGAGGTCTTCGTCCCTCCCGGCTTCATCCTGTCTCCCCAACCCGTCTCCCCCGCGGGGCAACAGCAAGGCAGAAACACACATACACACACACACACGGAGGCAATGGAAGAGTGGGGTATTAGGGGTCCCACTTCTGCGGCATTGCACGGAAAATGGGAAACCCCAGCGGGCAGGGACATTAAGAAGAGCGGGCTGCCCACCGTTTCATTTTATTCGTTGGAAATGAGCGGTCGAGGCGGAACGACGGGCAGGTGCCAGAACGTAGGCAGGCAGGCAGGCACGGGGGTGGCAGAAGAGGCACCCCCTACGGATTTCCAGTCTTGACTCTTTGTCTATCTAACACTCGTAACTCAGCCCTAAATCAAAGCGGCATCCCGCCCATTCAGGCCCGGCAGAGCCCCCCCGTCCTGCCCAAGCGGGGCAAAGCGCAACCCCCGCACCACCACCACCCCTCGCCCTGCACCCCCGCATGGCTCTTGCATGCCAACTTCTTCGCTAGGAAAGAAACGAAAGGAAAAGGAGGCTAGAACGCCAAGCCGCAGCTCCAGACAGGTCCCTCCTCCGCCTGCGGTGATTGGCTGAACACTCTGCCAACCTCGCCTTTCTTGGCCCACAGCCCCTGTTTCCAGGACACCGCCCTCGGCCCCGCCCCCCCGGTTCTCCCCGAAGCGTCCTCGCGGCAACCTGAAGCTTCCGGCTATCTCGGAATGCCGGCCTCTTCCTCCTCGCCTGTGACGTCATGGCGCCCTGCCCAATCGCCGGTCCGGGAGCAGAGCCGCTGCACTCCTATCTTCGCCAGAAGGTGGAAGCGCTTTGGAAGTTTGAATGGCGGATCCGAGAGGGAGGAATTAGGATGGGCAGGAATTTGCAAAGAGGTGTTTAGCCCTGGGTGTAGTATGCGCGAGCATGCCTAAAAACAGACTAAAACGGGAAGGGAAAAATAAAACGCTTCTGACGCCTTTAGGACTAACATACATTTTAGTGTGAACTCAACAAGTAGATACGGTAGTACTTGCGAGTCTTGCAGGTGCTACAAACCTGCCCTTCCCGTCTCTGCAAGTATGTGGTTTTCAAATGTAATACGTTTGACGTCAAAGTGAAGACAACATAGACAACACGAAAGGGAAAAGGCAACTTCTCCCCCACATCCTCGACATATAGACCAGTACCCTGTGGGTTGACTCAAGGGGAGTAGAACCACTGAATCTGCTGTTTATGGGTAAATGAATGCCTATGCAAATACCACTGTGCCTAGTCTACAGGATAAGTAGTGCCTTATGGGTTCTTTACCAGAAAAACATGTTTCTCGCTCAGAGGGCTTTTCCTTTATGATCTCACTTTTGGACGCAGCTGTATTTGTGCCACTTTGGTTTATTGCCTTCTGTTGGTTGACAGAACTGGGAAAGGAAACCTCCAGTTCCATTAGAATCTTTTGGAGTTATTTCAAATAAAATAGGTGGAAAGGGAGGCACATGCGGTCCTGGATCTCTCCAGGGCTATGGTTCATGGCTAAAGATATTTCCACTGCTGTACATGCTCCAAATATAAGATGGACTGTTTCCATCAAGGATGCCACTTGCATGAGCTGAGCCAGGCTGTGGAGGACATTTTAGAGATCATTCATTCCTAGGGTCAACATATGGTTCATGGCTAAAGATATTTCCACTGATGGACTGTCTCCATCAAGGATGCCACTTACATGAGCTGAGCAAGGCTGTGGAGGACATTTTAGAGATCACTCATTCCTAGGGTCAACACAGGTCAGAGGCTAATAGATGGCATGTGACAACAAGAAATAAATACTAAAAGCTAGTAGAGTCTATTTCTCCATTTTGCTAAGCATTTCACTCTCTCTCAAAATCCGTGGGTCTTTTGATTATTGAAAATGGCTATTTACACAGAAAATACCCTTTATAGTCTTTTGTAGATGACTAGTATCACTGGACGACATGTTACCAATGATGATGACACGTATCACTGGCACTCAAAGTCAAGTCTAACAGCTGTTAAATAATTTATACAGAAGGGCAGTGTACATGGCTTCTCACTTTATAAAGCAACATCAATAGTGGAAATGCGAGTGAGTCCCACCTCCTTTCACCTGTCTGTAATACTGCACAAGATAGTTCTTCATTATAGATAAAATATAGAACATTGTTGCTTGACTCTACAAACAGTGACATATGTGTTCAAGGAACTAAGGATTTATAGGCTCTGTGGCTTTCTCTCTTTTTTAAAGAAGCTTTTCTATTTTTGGTAAAAGCAAGCATTTGCAAACTGCTTCTACAAGTGACTCAGGCAAGTCCATATTGTGAAAATGTTCCTGTATGTTCTCTTACTTTTAATACTGGCATGCCATCTCATTCCATTAAAACCAATTTTCTTCTTGTCAAAGTTTGAAATTTTATGTGAATAAATTGTTAAAACAATTAAGGAGTGCTATAAGAAATGTAACGCTGTGTGAGCAGGTCTCTCTTGGTGCCCCTATCATGACATCTACTCACAATCCATACAGATCCCAATGGAGACTTTGGCACCTTTCTTTAGGAAGACACAGACTAGGAAAGGCAGCTCAAAGTAGAACAAAAGCTAGGGGATGATAAGGCCTACCTGGGTAAGGAGATGGGAGGCCAAATCGAGCTGGCAGAGGCCAGAGATAAAAGAGAGGGAAGGAGGAGGAAGAGGGGGACATAAGTTCAACAGAGTTGGAGTGAGAAGCGTGGGGAGAAGCAGAGAAGGAGCTGGACCCTATCTAGGGATGTAGACTATTCCCTAGTGCAGAACCTCTAGACAGAAGTTGGGAGAAATTCCCTGTGGTCAAAGAGGCCATAGCAGAAAGTCTATTATCTTCAGCCTTCCAGCATACCTGCCTCTGTGGCATCCACCCTGTGTAGACTTTGGCAACTGGTGGGCATCTGGTCCCCATTTCAACTCAACAGAGGTACTGGAGCTGCGAGGCAGTAGCAAAAGAAGTGGGGAAATCCAGACTTTGATGAGCAGCTGACACTATAAATCCTCTCTGAAAGGTGTGGGTTGGCTCAGGGCTGTGATCAAGACTGTGATTAGTCCAATCCTAGCACCATGAATTTGGGACCACTAAGAGGCTGGACTTAACAGGAGGCTACTGAAGTCAGCTTAGTCCATCCTCCCCCCTCCTCACAGAGAACTGGCAAGATGAGGTTGTAGCTGACAACCTTCCCTTTCTTCTCCATCATTCTCCAATCCTAATAAATTCTAATTCTAGTTGTTCTGGGAGTCTGAGCTTTATAGGACTCCCTTCTCATTGCCCTACACCCTGGGTAGAGGTGGGAGTTGTGCTCACACCCTGGAAATGTGAGATGTTCTCATAAAATGGAGATTTGAACATTAATGTACGTTATGCTTGTTAGAGGCTACTTCAGGGCAAACAGCTAGTTTCACTAGATTGGCAAAATACATGCAAACAGCTATTGGCTCCACAGGACTAGCAAAGCACACTGTGATCCAATAGGGTTTGTAATCCTGGCAGAACCCATAGAGAATGAACATGAACTACTAGAACAATGATTCCCAGCCTTTGGTAACCAAGGTGTTCTTGGACCGCAGTTCTCAGAAGCCTTCACCACCAGATATGCTAGCTGGGTTTTCTGGGAGTTGGAGTCCAAGAACTCCTGGGTTATCCAAAGTTGGGAACCACTGCTGCAGAAAAATACTGTATCTCCACTTCAGAGGCAAAACTAGTTTTGTTTTCAAAACCACCTTACCAACATTTTCTACAGTACAGGTCAGTTACACTGGAATTTCCATTTTATCTGCAATTGTAGTTGCAAGCCATGTGTGTAGATATCTACTTGCTTACGTTAAAGAATCAAAACATCCAGCTACTATAAAACCAGTGGAATTACTAGCAAAAAGCAAGAGCCAAACACACCAGTGGACTGCATTACCAGAAATGGGCAATACACAAGCAAGGAGATCAGAGAGATCCCTCAATAGATTCAAATGGCTAGCTTGCTGGGTGAGAATATTGTTAAATAATTTTCTTATATATATGCTAAAAGGCTATAAATAATTATTATGCTTTTTCGTTTTCAATGTAATATGTTTTGGAGAGGTATTCTCTGCTTTTTGATCATGCTTTTTAAGGCTACCAGGTTCTCCATTTTTAGAATGTAATTAAAACATTGTCTTTGCTCTTAACATGTTTTTCTACTGTACTTTTATGTTCCTGCAATTTTGAATTGAAACATGACTTTGACATGCAGCTTAAATTTTGCTTTTATATATACTTTGGAGTATTTCTTATTTGCAACTTTTCATGTCTCTGTAATTTGACAAAAGTTACATATTTTCAGCATTTTTTTATTTTTATACATAGAAGCAAATTGACAAATAAAGTTGGTAAATTAGGTAACCAGTGTTGTGCATGTGGATAGTAACTTAGTTTACCACAAGTGAAACAATGGTTTATTGTCATCCTCTGAAGAGAGATGGAATGTTTAACCTACTTATACCTTGATAGCCAAAGGAACATTGATTCAATTGAAAAGGGTTATCTGGTCTCACATTGAATTTAATCCTATAAGGAAAAAGTGTCAGCTGTGATGAAGCCCCTGATTCAAACTACCAAGGAGTATTATAAATCTTACAGTGTTCTAAGGACTTGAGTCATAAATTATCCTTGACACTTTTGTACTTTTAAGATTATTATTGCTGCTTCTTTGTTCACATATTGACCAATAAAATGTGTTACTCTTCCACAGTTTCTTCAGGACTCTTTGTTCTTCCTGCATCAGACTAGCAAGTTACCCACAGAAAAAAATCTTACTCATGGTTTGTTTGATTGTATTCCCTCTTCAATTATCCTCACTATCATGGTAGTTGCCTTTCTACCTGAAGCATTGTTTGTAGATGACTTGAGAGCCATGTTTGTCTTTTTACCAGTGAATGTTTTATTTTTAGATATGCAATTCAATCCTAAGTACACTCACTCAGAAAGCAAGTCCCCAATAGTTAAATGAAACTGAGTATGCTTTGAGATAACAGGGCTTCTATTGCTGCAGATCAAAAGACATTCTGTAAGTGTTATGTCTTTTCTTCTTTTCCTGAGAAGTGGGGCGGGGAGTGAAGAAGCAATGGGAAAACATGGTGGGACAGTAAGACATCTCACCCCTGTAAAGCTGTAAAATTGTATTATGTAACTGTCCCTGAAAAAGGCAGGGCAAGTACATCAAAAAAGCCTCATATGGAGCTACCTCTAACTCCTAGTAAAATATTTGGATTGCAGTTTAATGAGGCCATTCCATTGTCTCTGAAAGCATTTATGTTCAAAGAGACAAAGTAATTAAGCTACAGTAACCCACAGTAGCTTTCTGATAACTTTATTAGATCTCTTCATTATAAACTTCACAGAATGCTTGTAATTGGTCACAAAGTTTCCCATAATACTATATCAATGTAGATAAGAGGTTTAACCCCATGCTCAAATCATATTACCTGCTCTAAGGGAAAGAGGGGCATACAGACATTATACCAGTTTTTATGTTTATTAATCATCTTAAAATTATGAAACTATATGTTTCTATGAAAACATGTAGCTTGTCATTAATTACTACAATACATTTCTGTTTTTATGACATATGAACAGTATGTTTTTGTATTTTTAAAAAAATCTTGGCCCATCAAAAAAAAAACACTTGTTCCTCATTCAAACAAAGAAAAATGCACTCTAGATGGAAGGCTGGTGGAAATTAAAGCCTCATAAAGAGAAGTCACAAACCTAGTGACACACAGACACACAGCACTGCCAGAACTAGGCAATGAGTCCATATTTTTCTTTGTTCCACGCTCTTAATTTATTTTGTTTTTATTTTTCTGAAGGTACACTTAGAAAACCTAGTCTTGTTAAATGACTGATAAGAAACGTGTTATCAATAAGAAAGAAAGGCAATTTCTGATTCATGGTAGCAAAGGACAGGCGAACTAATAATTTATGCTGCAGAACTGATGCAACCCAACTAAAAGGAAAAAGGATGCCTGGGACTTGAAATACATAACATTATAAACCTATTTTTTACAACATCTCTGAGAAGTCTGTATACAAAATAGATGAATACAATGATTGCCTTTTGAAAGTATTCTAAACGATTTTAATATAGCTTTTGTACGCTCCCTGAGAAATTCTGAAATGATATGGGATAGAAGGAGGTAGGACTGCTATGACCTGTAAAAGCAAAAGACCCATAAGAACAAAAACAACCACAACCCAAACTAAATTCAGATACGTAAATGGATTTCTAGAACATTTGTACAGACTTTTCAAATTTGTTGCATAGAAGAATGGCTAGTTTTAATGTCAGATCACAAAGGAAATCCTTTGCATATACTAAACCTTGCATGACAAATCTACTGCACACATCTTTTTCATTGCTTCTTCAAACTGCATATCACATCATTATCAGACTACAGAGTGCTGTTATTCCTTCACACCAGGTATTCACAGTTCAGGAAATTGTTCACAAAAGACATCAGGAGGATTCACTGGCTGACAGAAAATTGGAAAATGAACACATTTGACAGGTATTTATTAGATGTGCAAGCATTTGCTGGGGAGAAACGTAAGGAAAATAAATGGTTTCACAATGGTTGAAATCCTGTTGCTTGGCATACAAAAATCTGCTCCCAGCTGGTAAACAAAAGATTGTGCCACCTCTGAAGACTGTGGTGGGTATTTTTAATTTGCCAGGTCAAAATACACTGAAAGTTACACAAAGCAACAGGATTTTAGCTACTCCATATCTTCTCCAGAGTAGTTGGTTTTGATGACATCAACTTTCCGGCTTCCTGCTTCTGGTCTTGTTTAAGTGATCAAAACTATTTTGGAGCATATAAAGGGAGTTCTTCAGCTGCAGAGAGAAAATTGCACAAGAATTAGGCAGTGAACTGTGATCTGAAATATTTTATATTCATAATGGCTGTAGATTTCAGGGGATCATCAGCATGGAGCCCTTTCTCCTTTCAAAGCCCCAAAGACAGGGGTGATTGCAGTGCTCTCGTTCTTTTATCTACCAGATCAGATTGTGGATGGGTATGCCTGCTTCCTGAGGAGCAAAAGTGCCACTCCTTCCAATGAATGCAAGGCAGCTGAACTTCTACTGTCATTTTCCAGAACTGCTGGGTATGACAACACCAATCTGGGGGCACCGCAAGCAAGTGCTAGTGGCTGCCCAGCATTTACAAGAACTCAAGCAGAGGTGGTCCCCAGAAATGCAGCAGCAACAACTGTTAGCGCCCTTGGAGACTACCTAAAGCAGATGCCTTGGAGGTACAGTTGGAGAACAGCCCTGCTTCCAAAAACAGTGATTGACTGAGATCCTGTTTGTGCAACTACACTGTGTAAGACTGATGTTCTATTTGGCAGCAGTAGGTGTTTTTTTTTTAAATTGAACATTTCATACTTCTTTCCTGAGGCTCTTATGGCGCCCATGCAATCCTGTTCATCATTGGGAAGCCCCAGGAGCCCCAGGACAAGACATTGCCCATCACTAGCCAAGTCAGTAATTGGCGGTAGTTAAAGACTTCCTCCACCTATTCCATACACAGGAATCAGCCATTCTATACTAGCACTCTGCTTAATACAACTTAATTGCTAGTGTTTTCTTGCTCCAGACCTTCCTAAGTTCTAATAGAAGTCTCTGTGTTAGTAAAAGTTAAAACTACCAGGAAAAACACATTCCATCTTTTACATGTTTGAGCAGATAATTCAGTTCAAGAATATGTTCAATTATGCTTAATGTACAGGTAGCACAATCGGTTCTGGAAGATGCTGTTGGAAGTATTACATGAACACAGCAGAGCAGTGCAGTCTTCTCTTCCTCTCAAGTGCAATTCAGACATCAGGATAATGGATTGTTTAAACAAACACGGAGGAGCACATGCTAGCCCCAGCCACTCCATCAATGTTTTGCTCATAGGAACACGTGTTAATCAGGGTTCGTGCACATGTGAAAAGTCCCCTTGGATACAAAAGGCTCTCCCCTTCAGACACAGAAAAAAACATGTGAATTTAACCATGGCTGGCTGACACATGGATCAAACAATTCTGAAATGAGCGAGTGAGACTTTGAGTCTTCTTTCAGAAAAACGCTATCATATACTGTAAATAACATATTTTAGGCATGTTTCATTTTCAGCTTTTAATAGGATGCAAGGACTTTTTTTTTTTTAAAGAATTGTTGTGTCTTGATCACAACAATCAATTCCTTTTCAGCAGCATGGGAGAGGATTGGATCCAGACTTATTAATGCCTCGGCCTAGTGAAATTGATGGCATTACTAACATACATCTATGTTCTGTTTATCTTGTACAGGGATAGGGAGTGCTACTCCCTGAAAACAAATCCAGCCTCCCTTGTCTCTTGTATTGTCCCTCTGGGGCTCCCTGAATAACTATATTCTTCATCTTCCCATGTTTTGTACTGGTCTTTTCCCATTCTATAGAGTTGAAATGCCTCTCCTAAGGCTTAGCTACTAGCAATAAAGGCATTAAACTAAAATATGCTGGAATTTTTCATTCCGCCCTTTTAGTTCTGGCACAGTCCATTTTGGCCATTGGGCTGCAAGAGGTTTCCTCTCCTTGATCTAGAAAGCATGACTTCGGTCCCAGTTGGTATGCTTTAACTGTGGTTTTAAAGAATTGTTAGTTGCCCTGATTTCTTGTGAAGAAGACTGGAATATAACTTAAATAAAGACAGCTGGGATTTAAATTGTAATAATATATAAATTCAATTTTAGGCAAATTTGGCAGTCTATTTAGAGTACAGTAGTTGAAATCTGAAGACAAGAGCCATAGCAACCATATGATGCTGTGTTGTTGTTGTTTTCTTAAGGAAGGCAGCTTGAACTAATTTTTTTCAGAAATCCCATGGCACATATATAATGGCTAAAACTAGTAAGGAAAAAACACACCAACCTGTTCAAGCAATTCTATAGAATCTTTCAGAACCCCTTTCATGTGCTGAACTTGATCTGTGCTATGCCGAGGGGTTTTCTCTCTTGATGCTACATTAAGGGCTAAACTGAGAGGAGAATAAAAGCAGTCTTGAGAGCTAGGAAAAAAAGAATTGCCGCACATAGTCTTTTTCTCTACTTTACGTTAGCATTATAAACATCACTAACATTATCCATATGAACCCTTAATTGACACACAGGCCAATATCCTACTGCTTCAACATGAAGGAGAAGGGCAACTTTGTAAAGGTACCTTCCTGGTCTGTCAATCTATTCCTAGTATGATCATTCATGACTGAGCTTGCAGTTAGTGTGAAGTCAGGCATGCTATAGGCACCCTACTGGAGCAGGAGATGCCTATGCCATTGCCCTTCTTTTTTGCATCCAGGCAATAGGATAAAGGCTACAGTAGAGATATTTGAGTACATCAGCATAGATAATATTCAGCAGCAACAACAACAAAACTCAAAGAATAAAGTCCCTCATTAGAAAGAAAATTTCCATTTCCCACATTACCCACCTTGCAACATTAGAAATTAGCTCTGTTACATTACAAGGGTGACATATGTCTGTCAGTGTTCCATACTGCTCCAGTATTGAATGATTACAAGGGAACAGGCAAGGATGTGATAACTTCCCATGTAGGCAGCTAATAAGAGCTATTGTAACATAGAGTGTTGGGCCAGGACTTGGAAGACCCAGGTTCAAGTCCCTGGTGAGCCATGAAACTTCCTGGTTACCTTGGACAAATCACACCTTTGGCCTGATCCAAATACAGTATGGTTGTGAAGATAAAAGTGGGCAAAAATGCAGATTTGTATCTTGAGCACAGTGGAGTGAAAATGGGATAGAAATGTAACTAATAAAAAATAATAATACGGAAACAATAATAGTAAGAATAACAATAGATAGCATTAATATAGCACTTTCAAGTATTCAGAATGCTTCACAAACATTATTCAGCTGTACAGTGCATTAGTATTCTTAAAGCCTCATACTGCAGAGGTGGTAGGCTTGAGCTAAGAGAGAAGGATCAGCCTAAAGAAAGCAAGTTCATGGTAGAGAGAAGATCTCAGCCAGGGATTTCCTGATTCACTGCTCAGTCTATACCAGATAAGCAAAGTGTGTAAACATATTTTTCTTGGGCTCTCTTCTATAATCTCCTCTATAATCAATGTCAGTGACAAGCAACTTCATGGCATGCTAGTTTATTTAAAAGCAAGTCTTAAATGACTAGGACTTGTTGCTTTAATATAGTCTCTCCTAACCTGAGTCACCTCAATTATGGATAGACCACAAACACTGAAAACCTATCAAGGATGTATGCTTAGAACTGCAGCCTGACTCTATTAGCAAATGAGAGGGCAATCAAAACCATTATTTGCCATTTCATAGATTAATAATAAATACTGGCTTTCAAACAACTTAATTAAGCAAAATTATACCTTACTTTGTCACAGTAAACAACGGCATTCAAAGTAGCCTACATTATTTAAAATAACCTTTCAAGTGATTATTTATTTATTGCAACAAACCAAAATATATTTATATAGAGTTAAAGCACAGCACATAAATAACTAAAACATAATGGTCAGTCACTAAACCTACCTAAGCTAGTTAAAAGCTTGCCTGAATGTACGCAGCTAGGCAACAGAGCACAGGCCAAGAGAAGGCCAAACAGATCTGTCCATGCAAGGGAGTTCCACAGTTTGAGTGCAGCCTCTGATAAACATGTCCTAAACCAGCGGTTCTTAACCTTTGTTACTCGGATGCTTTTGAACTGCAACTCCCAGAAACCCCAGTCAGCACAGCAGGTGGTGAAGGCTTCTGGGAGTTGCAGTCCAAAACTCCTGAGTAACCCAAGGTTAAGAACCAGTGTCCTAAACAATGTAAGTAAAATACAGGGAACAATTTTCCACCTCAGGTTATGGGGAGAATAACATGAGAAAATGTGATCCATTAAATCCCTTCTTTCTCTGGCTAGCCATGGGTGGCAAGTAGGAGCAGGCGGAACAGGACAAGCTCTGTGGGTGAGCTTTTCCCAGGTGCCGGAGAGGAAGCAAGCAGAAGCAGGAGCGCCTGCAGAAGTAGCAACAGCAACTTTGTGGGTTGATTTCTAGGGAGGGAGGGAGGCACAGCTGGAAGGACAGGGTTTTGTACCTCTCCCCCATCATTTCCTTCTTTCACACTGTCTTGGTGGGATGTCATGGCAAGACCAAAGAAAGAACTGCTCTACCAAAACTTGTATCTTGCTGAGCTTTAACATCCATTCTGTAGTGCTTTATAGAAGCAATGAGCTGGGACCATGTCCACACATCTTGTGAACACCTTCAAGAATGCACAGTATGAAGTAGTCTTTGTGGAGACTCTTACATGGTGGCAACTTTGGAGATTAAACTCATACACAATTCTTCTTCCATTTCATTGGCTGCAGTGGTTGGTACCAGTGAGTCAGTTGTTGTTGATGTCATTGGCAGAACTAATACAGATTGAACAGTATACATATTTTGACTCTTTATCTTTAATCTTGGATTAAGTTTTAATCAATTGTTTAGGCAAGTACTTTGGTTTCAGAGATGCTGGTTTTGTGGCATTCAATTCTGAATGAGATGTTTTTGGTAGGTTTGTGTAAAAGGCTGGTTCTGACACAGATTGAGATGGTAGACTATTCTGTAGTATAATAAGTGCTGATTTTTAAAGTGATTTGCAACCTGATTTCTGAACTGATTTGTTTCCTGGATTGGTATCCTGAGTGGAACTATTTTGTTTAAGTGCTTTGGCTGCTTTTAAAGACATCTCCCACCAACTGGATTTTAAGCTGGTTTTTCGGTTTTTGAAAGTTAGCTTAGTGAATTTTCTGCAGATGATGCAGTTTTTGTGGGTGGTGACCATCCCCCAAATGAAAAGGCAGTTTAGGTGTCTGTTGCTGTGTTGTATTTTTGTCTTATACCTGGAACACCTTTTGAATAGGCCAATGGCAGTCATAAACTATAAATGGGGGAAATGGCGGAGAAAACATGTGGGTAATAGTATTTTTGTTTTTATTTCTTTAAGTAAATGGTAAGGAGGATGAAGATGAGGAACACAAAGAAAAGGATGAGCAAAACAGCAGTACAAATGATATAGATGATACAGACTTTTAAAAATTCTAGAGTGCTTCTTTTTTGCTGTTGCTATTTGCAGTGGACACCGGGCTGTGGAGCGGGGGTTGGGGACCCCTGACATAATGGACAGCCCATTGAGGAGAAACTGGCTATGCAGTCCTTGTGCACACAGAAATGTTCAAGAGGATAATGTCTATTTATGATGATATTTGCATATAATAGTTTAAATATGCCTATGCAATTTTGATGTGAAAATGCACTATGGTAAGAGCGTGTTACCATAGTCTCTTGAGACTGAAAGATGCCTATACTCTTAACTCTAATACTAAATGTAAATTTTAGATTTGGCTTGTGAAAATGTGAATCCACTCACTTTGATGATCCTTCTTCCTGAACGTGAACACGATAAAATGACTGAGCTGCATGTTCAATCTTTGACAGTTTCAGGAACAATGTCACATTCAGCAAGACCAGTAAGAGTAAACTGCAAAGAAAGACATTTTTGTTACTGTTATTTGTTGCCGGTAGTACCTTAATAGATACAAGACCAGTAAGAGTAAACTGCAAAGAAACAGACATTTTGTTACTGTTATTTGTTGCCTGTAGTACCTTAATAGATATAGAGCAGCCAATCTCAACGGGGGCCATATGGCCTCATGGGGTGGGGCTGACACATTCGAAGGGGGCCACCGACTGAAAAATATGAGAAGTTTCTAAAAGATACGTATCTGTTCATCTCATTTCATTCTTTGACAGGAGGCCTTGGAACCTGAGAAGAACTCCTAAAAAGGACATGGCCAAAAAAAAAAAGTTGAGAATGGCTGCTATAGGATCCCAAGATGTTGTAGCAGGATTAGAAAACAGTAACCAAATTAA